GAAGATAAATCGTTTAAATTAATCAATAATCTATTCGTACAAGTTGACTGAGTGCTTCTTGGATACTTGAGCATTTACAAATCGCGAGGGTCGTGCGCCTCTCGACAATCCTTCGGATAATTTCGGCTGCCTTCGTGTGCCGTTGTTTTGAAAATGGACGCGAATGAACCGGCGGCGAAGCTCGCGTTGCGCGACGCGTCCGACAGCGCGTCTGCGGGAGAGGCTGTGGGTTCGGATACCGAATCGGAGGGCGAAGTCGCCACGATGACTGTGATGGCAGAAGCGGGGAACATCGACATCGACGAATCACTGCCGAACCCAGACGATGCCGAAGCGGCTTTTGCGGGTCAGTGTGCGCATGCGCATCAGCTAATTATCGATTACAATGAAAATCCAAAGATTTGAGTGCACCCATTATACGTTTTTTTTTAACCCACCCACTCTGATGATCAGCATAAGACTTGTTACTAAGACTAGTTTTAATTAAACTATAAAGTATTCAATCATACACCATGGTAGTTGTGCAATTTTTTTTCACCATTATGAATATGGATTGTTACTGAGAACCTTAATACAGACTTAATTTTCTTTATACGAAATATAATTTACTGATTAAATAATTACCAGTAAAAAAAAAAAAGTTATTAAGGAAAAATCTTCTGCTCACCGAGGCTACATTTATTTGATCAAAAATGCATTAAAAACTGTAATATTGTGAAATATTTTATTTTAAAATGTAATTTAGTCCTTTGATGTTACTCCTGTCTTCAGTGTCACATGAAATCACAAGAAATGGCTTAATTCAGCAAGGACTGGAGCAAGGAAAAATAAATGACAGTAAAGAAGACATTTGTAATGTTACAAAATATTTCTATTTCAAATAAATGCTGTTCTTTTCAACTTTCTGTATCATGGTTTCCAACAAAAATATTAAGCAGCAAAAACTGTTTTCAACATTGATCATAATGGACCATTATTAATAGTTTTTTTAGTAATAAGTACCAATAGTAAGCAAATCATCAAATTACACTGTGACACTGAAGACTGGCGTAATAATAATGATCACAGGAATAAATTATATTTTTCTACATTCAAACAGTTTAAAAACAGTTATTTTATATTGTAATAATATTTCACTGTTTTTACTGTATTAGTGATCAAATAAATGCAGCCTTAATGATTAAAAGAGAAATATTTAAAAATCCTAATTCTGAACTTTAGTGTAGTGTGTAGAATGTGGTTCAGCATTGTCATACCTAAACAGTTTCTGTTTTTTCTGCAGAGGTCACAGCCGTCACTGTTGGGGACGTTCAGAGTTCAGACGAAACCGTTTACACATCCACAGTCTCCACAGCAGCTTCCATCCCTGAACACATGCTCGTAAGAGTCTCCTCTCAGAGGACATTTACATGACGAAGATGCACTGAAAACGGAACAGTTCTTCCTCTGTGTTTTTCGCGTACAGACGAATGCTTAGTCTAAACTAATCCTTGTTTACACAGATCCACGAAAACAACTAAAACCGCTGTATTATTCATGTCAGGCCAGTAGGTGGCGATGTCACTTTATAAAGAAACACTAATACGCATGTGCATAACGTCACTGTTTTCACGAATTCAGGGTTGTTCTTTTTTTTGTTTGTTTACATGGAGATGATAACGTTATACTTCTCAAAAGTTTGCGTTTTCAGGCCCTAAGAGGCCGTTTACAAGACATCGTGGTCAACTGAAAGGGAAAACCTTTCATGATTTTTGGTCATTCATTTTACATGACAGAGGCATTTAGAGGCCTCTAGGCCTGAAAACACAAACAAAAACACAAACGATTTTAGTACGTCGTTGTCGTTTAATCGTGGCCTACAATTTCATTGAATTGAATTTCAAAAATGAAAATTCTGTCAGTATTTACTCACCCGCATGTTGTTCCAACCCTGTAAGACCTTCGTTCATCTTCGGAACACGAATTAAGATATTTTTGATGAAATCTGAGAGCTGGATCACTCCTCCATACTAGTCCATAGACTTCTTGAGGAATTGAAAACTTGCCAGCCTTGAAAAGTTATTAAAGACATCGTTAAAATAGTGCAAGTGACTACAGTGGCTCAATCGTAACTTTAACGTCTAGAACACTTTTTGTGCGCAAAAACAAACATAAATAACGACTTTATTTCAACTATTCACTTCCTTCTCTTTGCGCCGCTAGTCAGTTAATAAGCATAGCCTTCAGCCTACACCTTTTTTTTTTTTTTTTTTTTTTTGGTAGTTATGCATGTATGTTTATCTCTATAATGATTTAAAATAAAATTGAAAATAAAATAAAGAAAGAAATAGGTATTTAATAATTTTGAAAACATCTGATAATACATGCATTTTTAATTTTTTTTTCTTAAAATAAGTTTGCTCTTCAAATAAACCAACCCACAGTACTGTGTAATTACTATATTTATATGCCAAGTAAACATAAAAACGATGCATTTAACCATATTTTTGTAGTTCTCTTCTGCTATAAAATACTATTTGACATTTTTCTTTTTTTAAAAAAACTGTGCTGTATGATTAGCATATTCATAAACCACAATGAAACCATCTTAGACGTCCAAGCATGGTTGATTTTATGATAATTTCCGCCAACAACTAAATGTAAAAAAAAGGTATTTAGTGATATTTAATATATTTATTGTGTTTTTAACCTATATTGAACCTCTTCAGATAAACCAAACTGTGGTACTATATGATTCCTATATTCATCATATATGATAAAACCATATTACATATCCTAAAAAAAAATCATGCTAATACCATAGTACATAGATTTTTAGTTAATCTGTGAAGTAAACGTCAGAACAGATTTGTTTTGAATCAAATAATAACATCAAATGTAATATTTCTCCACGGATTCATGCAGACAGGCAGAACCACGCTTCAGATTTGGAGACAGTCTGAGTACCCAGAAGGCCACACTGATCGTGGTGCACACGGATGGGAGCATTCGTCGACGCCACAGGGCTGAAGGCACCGCGACAACCAATGACCAGGTACGTTTCGGTTTTAGGAACTAAATTGTAAATGTTAAACTGTGTGTATATAAAAGTTGTGTCTGTTTTTTCCGTTCAGGTCCCCAGACCCCGAACACCCCTCTGACATCTGGACACGATAAAGACGGCTCGAAGTACAACTGGGATCCGTCGGTTTACGACAACGAGCTTCCTGTGCGCTGCAGGAACACCAGTGGGATTCTGTACAAAAACAGACTGGGATCAGGTACGCCACACGAGGGCGTCACACACATATACAGATGTTGTTTCTGTAGAGCTTATTCAGGGGCTGTGTCCGAAATCATCCCCTATACACTCGTTCACTATTCCTGCACTACTCCACTAATAATAGTCCACTTGAGAAGTGATTGAAAACGAATGTGTGAATTCAGACACTGAGTGTGTCGGAAGGGCTGCCGCTTTTTGCATAGTTTCTGCTGTTTAATAATCAATTTGAGTTTTAGCAAACTGGCAGCTCCAGTAATAGTAATGAAAAGATTAATCTTGAACGTTCTTCTTCAGGGTGTATAAACCTTAATTAAACAATTTTAATAATCAATTAAGAAGGAATTTATACTTTTATGATGTTACGCTGTACCCACATTGGACCAGTGGTTTGGAAAATGGATGGATGGATGAT